TTTCAAGTCCTCTTCACTTTCAGCAAGCAAAGTTGTATCATCTGCATGTTGCAGGTTGTTAATGAGTCTTCCTCCAATCCTGATGCCACGTTTTTCTTCACAGAACCCACAGACTCTAAATTAATTGTATTTCTATTTTTCAACCTAGATTGCCTTTTAGTCAATCTAGAAGTTCTATAACTTTTTCCCTTTAGAGCCATGTTTTATTACTAGAAACAAGTGCCTGTAACTCCCATCTTCCTGGTGAGTAATAAACATGCTTTCCTCCTATTGCTGACCCCAAATTACCCTTAATAAATATATTTTAAGAAATGGATTCATTTCATTTCCAGTGACTCCCAGATAAGTGTGCAGGTGATAGTTGTTTTTTTCCCCCCCAAAATAAACCATCATTTAGCTGCTTTTAAGATTCTATTAAGTTACAACAACACATAACAAGAAAGACTGTGCTCATGTAACGGTACTGTTTCTCCATGACCCAACTCATTGATAACTATCCAAAAAAAAATTTTTTTTAAAGTACCACCCAATGCTTTATTGTTGTTGTTGAGTGCCACTGAGTTGATTCCAACTTGTAGCGATCCTGTATAGTTTTTCCAAGGAGCAGCTGGTGGCTTTGAACTGTCGACCTTGTGGTTCAGTTCAGTGCTGATCCACACCAGGAGTCCAAATGCTTTGAGGACTAGAAAATTAATAAAGTAAACCAGCACTAGAAAATTAAGTAACTTTGTAGATCCTGGACTTCAACAGTCCTTTCAAATCAAAATACAGTAGTCTTCACATTTGTTACCATGGATTTCAAAAGAATAATCTACATTGCTAAAAGCTATTTATATAGAAAGACAAAAGGGAACATAATTAAGCTGGAGTTTTTCCAAAGCATTGTCTTTTGGGGTCCAAGCAGCAGAACCATGCAGTAGATCAGGGGTGGGGAATGTCCAGGCCGCGGGCCTTATGAGGCCTGCCAAATCATTTGGTCTGGCCCTGCTAAAGTAAGCACAGTTCCAGCCATTACATGTGTTGTTGTTGACACTGAGTGGGTTCCAACTCATAGTGAGCATGTATAGGGCTTCCAAGAAGTGGCTGGTGAGGTTGAACCGCCGGCCTTGCAGTCCAGTCCAGTAACCTGCAGTGCCACATCAGGACTCCGGTCATCACATTAGGGGTAAGTTACTCTGTGGATTAATGCGCTGAACTGCAAAGTTGATTTGAAACGCAAGGTTGGTGGTTCAAGCTCACCAGCTGCTCCTAGGAAACCCTATACTGGGTTGCCATAGGTCGGAACCGACTTGATGGCACTTAACAATTAAACATTTGACCAAATAGAGCAGGCTAGTTTTTAACTTGGTAATTTATTTGTATGGCCTGCAAATATTGTAAATCTTTGGCAGTAAACGTGTTCCCCAGCCCTGATATATATGAAAGAGTAAGATGGTCTGGTTACAGTACATGTGATTAAAGCTGAAGAACCAAAAGTTGAACAATGAATACATTAACTTCACTCATAGAAAGAATGCTAAGCAGAGGGTCTCCATTTTTAGAGATCAAACATGGGTAATTGAGCAATGATGTAGGTATTTACAAGGCACCACTTTCTAACACATCTCTTGAGAGACTAAGGACACCAATCCTCTAACCTCTTTGAGAACAAGATAGGCTGCTCATTTGTTTGGAATGATTCTTGATGGAAAATGTTCAGGAAGACTGAGATTTTTTTCCCCCCTTACTTGAAGATCACTTTTCTTTCTAGGAGCTCAAAACTTTACATTTAGACCTCATTTCTTCTCAGTGTGAAGCAAGCCCAGTTACAAAAGTTAGAGATTCTACACTTTTCACAACCTGACTCCTTCTGTAGAATCACTCAACAGTTAGGAACTCCTTCTCTTCCAACGCCCTATCAGAATGTAGCATGAGTCCTTGAAATGGGGCTTCTTCTCTTACTATGTTTTCACATTTCCATAATGAAATGTAATCTGGGAAAGAACCCATAGTAAAATAAGGATTGCAAGAGCAAAATTTTAAATGTTTGATCATGTAGCACAGGCAAATGGCTCAACTTTACCTGAACTACTTATGTTTCCTCTATAGACTAAAAAACAAAATTAGCGAATTGAAATTTTCTTAGACATAAACTGTTGTTGGTTATTGAATTGATTCTGACTTATAGCATCTCTGTGGGATACAACCCTGCCCCCATTGCCTTTCCTAGGCTGTGATCGTAATGGGAAGAGCCGCAGCTTTTTTGGCAGGTGGGTTCAAACCTGTTCATTCTGGTTTGACCCCTTAGCTTAGAGTTTGCATCTGCACCCCAGATATACTGAATCAGGAACTGTAGTTTAACAATATCCCCATGTGATCCTTATACATACTATAGGGTCTTATGTTTGCATGTCACCTGGGGATCTTGTTAAACCGTAGATTTTGATTCCGTACATCTGGAGTGGAGCTAATTCTCGGCAGAGAGGGAGGGGGTGGAATGGATTAAAGCCTGATTCCAATGGTCACCTTTCAGTTAGCAGTTCAAGACTTAACCATGTGTCACCAAGGCTTCTTAGAACTAAACCAAACATTAAATTCTATGTATGAAAGTGAGAGGAAATCTCTTTTCAAAATATGCCGGGAAAACAGGGAAAATGTTAAGTACTCAGTTAATTACAGACACTTGTTTTGATATTTCAAAAGTTGTTATTTCAACTTCTGTACTGACTGACATCCAGGAAAGCCACCTTCAATTTTCTAACACTATTATAAAAGCGGTTGTTAAACATTTAAAGCAGATGCTTCTAAAAACAACTGTTACATTTAATATTTTGATATAGTGACCAGGTCATCCTTTTGCCAATTCTAAACAAAATAAAAGGGTTCCTCCATTAGTTTGTTCCTGTATGCACTCTTTGATGGGGGTTTGAGCTTCCTAAGCATCCTCTCTCCAGCCTTTACTCTCTAAAGTAGGTTATCTGCACTTGGATGGATGGCTCTTAAGGGATTCCTACTCTGGAAAGGTGCTGTCCCCTATGGCTAGTGGTGTGGTCTTAACTGTCTTCAAAACTTTATATTGAAGATCAGTCCTTACCATCAAAGAGAACAGAAACTCAGGGCTCCTATGTTATATCGATTCTCCCACTTTACTGACTTGATGTGCTTGTGATGAAGTTTTTCAGAGCTGTTTGAAAACAACCATATTCAGAAATAACCGACTCAGTGGCATACCAGGTAATAACGGGTCCTTCCGTATTATTTTAGAAAGAGGCAGTGAGGCTAAAAAAAAACTAAAGTAATTCCCAAATACACAGGTTCAATAAAATTAACAAAACTGAAGGTAACAGGGCAGCTAAGTCAAATTACTTCAAACTAAGTACAGATGAGGTGTTCTGCTCCCGTAAAGATTTACAACCTCAGAAACCCTGTACAGGGTGTCTCTGAGTCGGAACCAACTCTAAGGCACACCACCACGACCACCAATACACTCAAATGGATTTAAAAGATTTTATTTTACATTTTCCAACTACTCAAAGTGTAAACCTTACACTTTCTAAATTCCACTTAATATTTACTGAGTGAAGTGCTAAGTTTGCAGGGATGCCACTCTAACTGCCCTTGTTAACCATCCCTATGCTTTATTAAAAGTCCTATGGCAGGCAGCGTAGTGGTTACGAATCGAGCTGCTAACCTCAAGGTCAGCAGTTCGAAACTACCAGCTGTTCCGCGGGAGAAAGATGAGACTTTCTACTCCCGTAAAGATTTAGTCTCGGTCACTATGAGTCGGAACCGACTCCATGGTACTTAACAATGGCAAGCCACAAGTAGTTGGTAACCAATGAAAATCAAGGCTCTAAGGTCTCCTAAAACGAAATGTGATTCAAACAATCCAAAGCAAACAAACCAAAAAACCTGGTAACAGAGCTCCAGGTAGAGCTTCCTTGGCAACCCAAATCCTAACCAAGGACTCCGATGGACGATTAGCGTAAACGGCGCCGTTTTCTTGAAATACGTCTAGAAAGCCCCATAGCCTTTCTTTGGCCCAGAAACCCTGGAGTTTTATTAGCACCTTCCTTTTGCACGCTTTAATCTCTTAGATATAAACTGATCAACAATGCTTGTTCCAAATCCACGGTCTTCATTCACTTATTGTCTGGGTGCCTCTGGGTGGCCGCCCCTCCCGAGCTGATCTCTGAGCATAGGGTCAAGACCGCGCGGGAAGTCATCCAAAGGTGGGAGGAAGCATCTTGCTTTTCTTATTTATTCGAAGCGGCGAGGGTTGTAGTCAGATTGGAGGGAAAAGGGAGCGCTGGGCGGGGAGCCGCGGCCACAGAAAGGCCCACGGGACCCAGCAATGACCAGTTCCTCCCTTCTTCCAGGCCTCTCCGCCGGCCGCCCGAGGAGCAGCCGGCGGACCGCAACCTCGCGCCGTCGCCTCCTTCCGCATCCCGGTCAGGCGGCCAGGGGTGGCCCCCGGCGCCTCGCGCGGGCGGGGACCCCGAGCCGACCCCTCCGGCCGCGCCCCTCCCCCTCGTGTAACGCACCTGCGGCCCCGCCCCCGGCCGAACGCTGAGGCGGCGGCGGACTGGCAAGGCCCTCGAGACACAGTCACCTTCCCTTCCCCCGCCATTCCGCCCACCCCCTCGCTCAGCCACCGAGCAGCTACCGCGCTCCTCAGCCGCCCCGAAATCTAAAGAGGTCCGTCTCCGGCACCACAACCAAATGGCTGAGCCTCCCTGGCCGGCTGCGCAGCCCGCCCATTGGTCCTTTCCCTCCCCCCGCCGGCGCCACCATGGGTTGTTGCCCGGAGACCCTCGGCGCTCATTGGCTCATCCTGCTGTCGCTCGTCCTCGGGCCGTAGATCCCGCCTCCGCGACGATCAGGTTAGTGTGCGCTGCGGGCGCTGGGGGCTCGAGAACCGAGCGGAGCTGGTTGAGCCTTCAAAGTCCTAAAACGCGCGGCCGTGGGTTCGGGGTTTATTGATTGAATTCCGCCGGCGCGGGAGCCTCTGCGGAGAGAGCAAGCGAGAGATGGAAATGGAAAAACGGATTCATTTAGAGCTGCGGAACAGGACGCCCTCTGATGTGAGCATTTGCCAAAAATATCTCTGTCGGTCCATTCTCCTACTTTGTGTGCCTGTGTTGCGGGGGGGGAGGTGGGGAGGCAGTGTATTTTGATGGGGTGGGCGCCCCGAAGGTGTGGGTTTGGGGGTCAGACTGCAAATGAATTGCAAGGTTGGGGGTAGCAATGCCATCCGAGCATGTTCCGGCTGCTGCCGCCGCTGCCCTTGGTGTGTGACTACCTGTGCGTGTGCTCCCGCGTGTGCGCTTCGAGTGTGCGAGTGTGGGTGCGAGTGTGCGTGTGAGTGTGCACCCATCAGGGCCAGCGGGCGCACGCGTTTGGGTCGGCGAGCCCGAGAGAAAATCACCCTCTGAGCTCGCTGCTCCCGTGACTCCGTCGGGGAGAAAGATTAACGAGGGAGGGGGAGAACTGGGGCAGCCTCCTGGGTTCAACAACAAAAATAAGGGGCTTTTAGGGTTTATAAATGTACCCCTCCTTCCGCACGCCCCTCCCGCGCCTTCCCCCTCCCTTTCTCTCGCTCACACACAATAAGTTTGGGGCTTCGCGAGTCCGGTTTAGTTTCTGATAAATGTGGGCCGAGGCCCCCAGGGAGAGCGCGTGGGGAGGGGGCTGCATTGGAGTTGAGAATGGCTCGAGTTTAAAGTGCGTCTTCATTTCTTTGCAGTGATGAGGCGAGAGACGGGGGAGCCATATTTGTAACTTTGTAGTGTTCGTGAACGCGCCCTTTCTCTCCCTCCCTCCCTTTCTCTGCCTCCTTTCCTTTCCTCCTCTTTCTCCCTCACTCTTTCCACCCCACCTTCGGGCCAGATGCTGAGGTTTCTTCCTCTCCTTTGGAAGGGGAGCTAAATTCGAAGGCGGGGGGAGGGATTTTTCGAACGTGCAAAGGCACATAATCCCCGCGCCTCCCCACCTCCAGCGATCCCTAGCTCTGGCAAGTTACCGACAGGCTATGGGTCCCGGTTCCCCCTCGCCCCAGCTCCTTTCGGCCTTCCTAAGATGCTAGCCTCGGAGCCTCGCCTTCCTCCGCCCCCAGATGCGAGCCCCCGGCCCCTCTTCCTCGGGCGGGCTCTCTGGCAGCCATTCGCGCTTGGCTCCTAAATGGGCACGGGAAACTTTGTCAGGACGCGAGCTGCCCAGAGCTTGTGCTGGGTATTGGCGGAGTCCAGATTCATGCGGGCCGAGAGCCGCAGCCCCGGGACGGGAGTTTGCCTTCCTTTCGCCGTTATTGATTGGGCAGCGGCGGGCGGCGGGGGTCGGGCCGGAGGAAACTTACACGATGGGTACGGGCAGGTTCGGGCCAAAGCAAAGGGGAGGGTGCGGGTGGGTGACTTCCCGCTCCTTTTATCTCGGTTTCCCTCTCGCTTTCAAACGTGAGTTTTTTATGCGAGTTGGCAGCTCACGGAAGAAACCCCCAGGCCTGGGGAGGAGGCACTGGCCCGGCTTCCCTCGTGGCCCTGCTGGGAGATCGGAGGCGCGTGGGCGGGAGGGGAGGACCCCCTTCAGCCACGGTGGCCGATTTGCGCAGAGTTCAGAATTTGGGTAGTACTGTTTGCTGACCTGTCGACCCTTCAACCCCTTAAAACCTGAATCCCTGGCAAAAGCTGGCCCTGCTTCCCCTTTTCCCTAGTTCTCCCCCAAACCTGTGTGACTTTTGAAAACAAGAGCCTTTTTGTCCCCCCCCCCCCCCCCCATCATAACGCAGCTGTGGACTAGAGACGTGCGAGAGTGCCTTATGGCGCGCAGGGATGGGGGGGTGCCTGAGGGGAGAGGGGGTGGCCGCCGGAGAAGGAAGGAGTTTCCACCAACAAATTTTCGGCGGTTTCCCTTTCTCTGACTGGGATCCTCCCAGCTCGGACCCCCGAGCCCGAGGATTTGGGACTGGGTGTGGTGGTGGGGGAGGGGCCGGAGGCCGCGGTCTTCCCGCGTACTTTCCGGAAGCCCCCTGTCGGAGGGGGAAGGGCGCCAAGTAGGGGGCCGGGGTCGGGCTGGAGGCGCGGTTCACGGGACGAGCCCTAGAAACCTTTCTGACCGACTGGGAGCAAGGTCGAAAGCGGGTCGAACCGGCTCTTTAAACTTCACGGAGGGAGTGTGTGTGTGTGTGTCTGTGTATGAGTTGGGGGAGGGGAGCGCGTCTCGCTGAACTGGGCGAGATTTCTCACGCTTCGCCCCCTCGCCTCCCCATCTCGCTGCCCACACGCCTGTCCCCGGCCTAAAGGCCGGGTGGGGCGCAAGTGGGGGGTGGAAGGGGCACTTTGAGCGTATTTGGGAAGGAGGGGGAGAATACTAGCTAATGAGGGACAAAAGGTGTGGGGGAGGAGGCACTCTATTCTTTTAAAACGGCCTTAATGCAAATAGCTCCCGGAGTGCGCCCCCTGCGCTCCTGCCCGCCGCGCTGCCCCCAGTGGCCCATGCACCCACCTTGGGAGCCTCTCCCAACTCTGTTCCGGCGGCTGGTGGCCACGCCGCGGCGCCGAACTAGGACGAGCAGCCATGTTTCCCCGGGTCTCCTGCGGCCCGCCCCGCCCCTCCCCCCCTCGGCGCGGCGGGCGCCGAGCGCGGGGCTCCGAATGCGGGCGCTGGCTTCTGGCGGCGGGCGCCGGGGACGTGTGCGCGCGGGCACGCCGCCTGGGGTCCCGGTCCGACCCGGCCCGGTGGCTTTCCGAGCTGGTTCCGAGCTCCAGGGGTCTTGTTGATGGCCTTGTTTTTGTCTTTTAACGGAGTCAACACGTCCGGGGACGAGCTCGAGCTCGAAGGTGTTATTGGAGGCGGGAGTGGCAGCTAAGGCCTTGCGCGCCTGTGGCACGGCTGCCGGCGCCGGTCTGCCATTTTGTCACCGTAGATGTTGTCGCTGTTGGGGGCGGGGGGAGTGGAGGGTTTCGCCATTGCTCCGACGGCCCAGGGCACGGAGGCAGCGGGGAGGCGAGAGGGCGGCTCCAGGGACCCCAAGCCCTCCGGTGGCCTGAAGCGTCACCGGAGCAGTTGCACCGGGAGGGAGGGCGAGAGTCCTCCCTGCAAATGCTCCCCCTCCATCTTGCTCCCTACTTCCCCCTCCCTCTTCTCTCGTATCTTTCGCCTTTCCTCCAGCGGGCGTTTTATACGTAGTTACATGTCTTAACTGTGCCTTAAATTAAGACGCTCTAGTTGCTCTTTCGGAGGAAATAAAAGGCTGCCGGAGAAATTCATGCTGAGGTTTATTTGGGGGGGGGGGTCGCGCCTGCATTTCTGGCGGTCTTGATTGAAGCCAAGGACAGCAGCCGTTTACCCGAGAAGGACGAGTTGTCGTTGCATTGGGGAAACGCCCTCTGGGGCTGGGCTCTCCGGGAAGGTAGGTCTCTCCGTGTTTCAGGTGGGTGTTAGAGCGCCCCGCGGGGTGCCAAGACTGGCTTTCAGAGTCTCCCTCTTCCTCTGCCCAACCACTCCCCAGTTTAATTTTACCTAGGGAAGTCAGCTCCTTACTAAAGCGTTATTCTAAACGGAATGAGATAGAGTAAGGTTTGCTTGTAATAAAAGTAATCAATATCTTTTTGCCGACCATCACCCCCAGGCCTTTGACTGCAGAGCCTGTCGCGTCTTGCTTTCAGATCACTGGGACTTTTTAAAACTGACTTCGCCATGCTGGTGAAGTAACTCACTAGCTGAATTGGGGGGTTGCTGCAGAGACCAGCTCTCAGTGCAGTGCCCCGCTGCAGAGGAAGCCAGGTTTAACTTTGACCTTTGGAATACATGGCCTGATGTTTTCCAGGCTGACTTACTGCCTAATTGGGTTCAGGTAGGCTGACATTGACTCCAATTTGTGCAGGCAAAGCAGAGATCCCTAGGCAGAAAATGGAGCTTGTAGAATTCCGAATCGTCTTGGTCTGTCTTTCCTTACTGGGATGCCGATGATGGTAATGGTTTTGAGTCTGGGTGTGTGTGTGTGTGTGTGTGTTGTGTGTTTTCACCGTCAAACTGGACTCTTGGCATCACACAGACCTGGATTTGACACCAACCAAATTCCCTTCTTTCCCTTTAGTAGTAACCCTGTGACCTCAGACAGGTTAATTTACCTCTTTGAACATGGTTTCCCCCACCTGTAAAGTGAAAAGGATAATCTCATTTAATCAGTAAGTGACAAAACTGGTTTGATCTGGCCCTCAGTAGATGCCCAATAAGTATCTGATAGTGAGATGAGGTGTTTTGAAGTATAACTTTAAACATCTTCTGGGTTTAGAATATTAGCAGCAGCAACAAAAATAATTGCTAATGTGTGCATAGCTCCCAGATTTTGTCAGGCACAGTTCTGAGTGGGTTACACATAGCATCTAATGTAATCCCCATATCAAGTCTGTGAGGATAAGTACTATTAATATGCTCATATTACACCTAAGCAAATGGAGACATAGAAACTCTTACTTAACACAAACCCTAGCAGCTTGTCTGCGTACTGCCTTCCTTGAATCTTCTTTTTGAGTAAGACACTCTGGGGAAGAACTTTTTCCTTTCCAGCTTTGGAATGCTAGCACCTGTTTCTAAGAGTGAATTTCCTGTCATTGATGGTATTCAAATAAAGACTGGAGAGCCTCATAGTTGAAGATGTTTTGTGTGTTTGTGGATAGGGTCGGTACCAGAGGTTTTGTGGATTATCATTTTAGGGGGAAAGTCATACAGTTTCTTAGATTGGGTAAAGAGGTAAGCAGGAGCCACTCTTAAAACAGTGGTTTGATTGGATCTTGCATGTAATGTGTTAGTCTCTGCTGCCAAAAAAATGAACACAGTTGGCATGTCCTGGGATATACGAGTTAGTATCTTACTAATAACACCTCATGGATCATCTCACTTAATCCCACCCAGCATCTCCTGAAGGGTAGGCCAAGCAATGCTGAATCATCTTAGAATCGGTGATAAGGTCAGCCCAACACTGTAAAGCCAGAGGTCTGTCCCTTCTGTGGATGGTAGAGGCTTGGAGTATTGTCTAGTGCAGCACATCCCTGATGAGACCCATCATCAGTTTACCTGGAGAACA